TTAAACTGGCACATCCAATATTTTCACAGGAAATTAATCTTTGTCATACTAAAAATGAGAATACACCTAATATTATTTGATATACTCATGTTATTACAGATATCATAATATTATAAACGTTTTATTGAATTTAAATAAATTAAAGACAAAAATTGCAATTTTATCTTTTACATTAAAATATAATAATTAAGGAATTTTTTCGAACTTTTTGTTTGAAAACTTTGTTGTATAAAAACAGAAATTAAGTTTTACTATACAATAATTATTCTGAAGTTATAATTTGTTCCTCACAAAATTTTCTAATAAAAAATTACATTTTTCAGTTATTTATTTATATAATTATTTATATTTCATATAAACACATACATATAAACACGTGCTCGTATTGCGCGAACTCGTATGCGCAGATGACCAACGACCGTTCGAGACTCCCAGGTATTCCCGATATTCTTGAAAATTCTTGGCGGTTCATACAGTATTCGTACGCTATACTGCACTATTCCTTCGTTACTCCTAAAATTCCCTCGGATTCTCTTGTTATTTCATCTGATTTGTTAATTCTAGATTGTGTAAATCAATACTCCTCAAATTTTTTGATTGAAATATTATTCGTGATTTACTCTTCATTCTTCGTTTGTTCGACAAATAATTCTGAAAATATTCTTACCACTAAAATCGTTATTTTCTAGAGTGAAAAACCTCTCGTAAAAAATTAATAACTTTTTATAATTTTGATAGACATATTTTTTTTGGTTCTAGTTTCTGAAAATGTTTGATTTTTTTGTGGGTTTTAAAAATGTTGAATGTTTGTCTGATGGTGATATATAAACATTATTTAATCATGACTTGATGAGAAATTGACAACAGCTCTCCTCAGACTAGATATATTAAAAAATTACTTTAAAAAGGACAACGAAAAGAAGCAAAGGAGGGACAGATAGGAAAGTAACTTATATCTTATTGGTTAATAATAATTAATAATAATGACAAAAGGGTGTCCTGTTTTCTTATTGGCTGTTTATCTCTCCTGACTTTCAATATGCATTTTATTCTCTTATCAACGTTAAATTGTTTGTTATTTGTTTATTCATGTAATAAAAAAAATTATTTCTTCTTTTGTTTTTAATATATTTATTAAAAAAATATGAATATTAAATAATATTTTAATTTAATGATATTTGCTGACGAGAGAGAAAGAATAAAAGATGGAAAGTAACGCCTATCTTATTGGTTTAAAAAATGGCATCCTGTTTTTTTATTGTCTTATTATATTTCCTAACTTTAAACATGCATTTTATTCTTTTAATAAAGTTTAATTATTTGTTTTTCTTGTTCAATTATATTAATATAATTGAGCGTCTACATGCAATAATCGGTCGAGCACTCGGCTGAACGCTGTAATGCCAGTCAGACGGGTCAAAAAGTAAAAAAAAAAAAGAAAATGAAAATTTTGATTTTTAAATAATAGTACCATGCAGAAAATGAAGGGACGCATCTTTTTTTCCTTTGAGATTTTTTTATAGGACGAAAATTTAATTTAATAAATCCAAAAAACTGAAAATTTTTTTTTCACTATTTTCATTATATTTTTAAACATAAATCGTCGTAACTTCCACAAATATTAATGAAATCGATTAAAATTCGGTATACAAACGCATTAGGGTCTAGAGAACATTGCCGGACATGCTTGCTTATATACGAAAATAAATAAAAAATATGTACGAAAACAAAACACTATCGCCTATTATTCTAGCAGACGAAACTCTCTACGCGGCGACTCGCTAGCGCGCCACCCGCTTTTTCAAAAAACACTTATATTTTTGAAAGTTGTGAATGAATTGACTCGAAAATTTCCAAAAAACTTCTTTATATATTAATAAACAAATGTCTCACTGGAAGTTCTTTCAACTCGAAAGTTCCTCACAGACTTTTTCTCGGCGAAGGTAAGAAATCGTGATTATCGACACGTCATTAATAATAATAATAATTTATTGAATAATTAATGATTATAAATTTTTTTATTAATTTATCGTATTCTCTAGACTCTAATGCGTTTGTATACCGAATTTTAATCGATTTCATTAATATTTGTGGATGTTACGACGATTTATGTTTAAAAATATAATGAAAATAGTGAAAAAAAAATTTTCAGTTTTTTGGATTTATTAAATTAAATTTTCGTCCTATAAAAAAATCTCAAAGGAAAAAAAGATGCGTCTCTTCATTTTCTGCATGGTACTATTTTTTAAAAATCAAAATTTTCATTTTCTTTTTTTTTTACTTTTTGACCCGTCTGACTGGCATTACAGCGTTCAGCCGAGCGCTCGACCGATTATTGCATGTAGACGCTCAATTGATTAATTTATTTATTATATTTTTAATTAATTTAATCACATCGTAATATCCTCATTTATTTATCATATAATAATATTCTAAAATGATTTTTTCAGTACTGTGTTTATAATTAAATTTTATTAGCATCCAGAAACTGGTGTCATTTGTCCAAAGATGGACGTGTTTCTGCTTTGCCATGTATGAATTACTGAAACCTTTTCGTCTATAGAAAAACTCTTTTACAAGCCACGCACAATTAGTCACATTCGACTTGTAGAAAACTCAAACAGAGACTAAATTAATTTTTCACAGTAACAAATACTTTTTATATATATCTACCTACCATAAAAATCTATGTGGCAGCAATAACACCACACCAAAGTAAATAAATGAAACAAAGTTAGGAGAAGAAATTTTTCGTTTTGAGATATTGTACTTGCGTTATAGTGAGTGATTGCTTCGTTAAAGAGAGTGTATGTATATACAGCTTTAAATACAAACTAACCAATTTGAACAGATGTTTACGTTAAGGAGACTTTTATCTTATAGAGAGTTTCGTTATAGAGAGTTTCCACTGTACTATAAATCTGAATTATTAGATTTTCAGAATTTTGATTTGTCCTCAAGTTTTTTCGAATTTTCAAAATCGTCCGTTTTGTCCTTTTTGAAATTGTTTGGGGTGATATGATGTGCGACACAGATAAAATTTAAGTTAAAAATGAATAAATATCAACATAATTCGATTTAAATGTTAAATTTTGGGCTTTTGAAATTACAATTACTCGAAATCGGGTGAAAAATTTAATATGATGTAATTGACCACTGAAAATTAAGAAGTTGAATAGTAGAACTCTTTGCTCTCCCCTATGTCTTCGAATAAACCAAGTGTCGGTTCTATGATCCAGCTTCTGAATTAAAATTGGTAACCTCAGCGGTGAAAGCCTCCCTGTTGGAGTTTTCCCCGATTTTAATCAAGAGGCCTCCCCTCCTTGTAGCTCTTGCCATTGGAGGCGCCTCCTTCTTCTTTCTCTTACCTGATGGGGCTCGAGTCACTTCCGGACTGTCACCCTCTCTCCTCCTTTTTTGCGCTTCCTTAACAGCGTTTTTAAGCCTGCGGTTAAAGCGTCGTTCCTTCTCCTCATTACGGTCCTTCCGTTTAATCCCCGCACCGCTGAGAACACAGAACAAGTCGAAGTCGGACTCGTCAGCCGCTTCTCCTTTGCCTCGGTCACCAGGGCTTGGATGATTTTAAGGTCATGCTTTACCGTCCTGTTGACGTTCTTCTGGATGTCGCAAGATTTCACCATCTTAGCGACCTCCTCTTCTATTTTGACGAGACACGCCGATTCCTCACTTCGGAGGAGTGAGCAAATTCTATTTGTTTATTAAAAACATGGTTTTTTGCAACGGAATTCGTTCATTACTGGCGTAAAAGACATTCAATTAAGTATATTTTTTTGCAAATTTAAAAAAAAAGAAAGTTGAAATGGCTCTAAGGAGAGGGAAGATAATTTTTTTTTCAAAAAAATCCTAAACGTGTGTTTTTAAATATTTTTATTTGGTTTTTTATGATTTATTTAGTTCATTAGTTACACTAATGGATGAAAAATCTATGCACACTTTAGTAAAGGGTTTTTTTATAAAAAAATAAGGTTAAATTAGGGGTAAGAATATATCTCGCGAAAATCAGTGGAGTGGGGGAAGCTCGCCAGTTACGACAGGCGCTCGCGCCAAAAAAAAATGCACGTTTTTTCAGGAATTTTTTTTTTAACTGGTAAAGCTTATTGAATTTGCCTTAAAGTACACAATATAAGCTTTATAACAAAAATTTTTTTTTAAATATTACAAAATGGCGACGTTACAGACGTTTGAACTTGCATCTTTGATTTTGCGCCGTGCAGCCTACAGGTCACAAATCTCGACTAAAATTAAAAATCAAAATTTTTACCATTAAAATACGCAAATACGCTTTGCATGACGAAGAGAAAATTAAAAAAATTTTTTTTTGAAAATTGGGGACCATTTTGAATAAAATCACTTTCTTTTTAAAAAACAATGTTCAAAAATATTTGTTAACAAATTTTTTTTAAAAAAAGGAGCTTGTCATGCAGTAGTCAGTAAGATAAAGAAGATTTGTGGTAAGTTTGGATAAAATCGGTTAAAAATTGGCTGTGTTACATTGCACGCCACGCAAATGGAACTTTGCAAAAACTACTTATTCTTTTGGGGCCAAATTTTGTATGCTTATTAAGGGCATACTTATTAAGTGGCATACTTTCACAAAGTATTACAATTATTTATTTATTATTTTCAGAGTCAATTAATAATTAAAAAAGTGACTTTGTAACTAAACAATTTAATATTTTTTAACTTGCGACCCGTCATTTTAAAGGTATTTTTAAGCTCTACAATTCTTGTACAGAACTTTTTCATCTAAAATCGCATGAGAATTAATCGTAATTGAAAAACTGGTTTAGCAGAGCTTTCATAATTTTTCAACAGCACAGCTTAAAAAATCTTGAGTTGGAAACATATACATATTATCTACCTTTCCCCACTCTTCATGAACCCGGTATCAGAAGTCTAGTATTATTTTTGGCACAAAATTTATGTTAGTTATGTAATAGTTATTATTTAATAATTAATTTTATTTGATTATTTTACAGCTATTAGTACAATTTCATATGAGAAAATGTGTGTACTTTTTAATATTGCGGCTTTACAAAGTTCCATTGCTGCTTCACAATCTCTTGAAAATGATGAAGGACTAAAATTAGCAGCTAAATTATTGCAGGTTTGATAAAATGTTTAAATCTTATTTAGAAATAAGTATGATAAATATAAAAAAATATAAAACACTAGCAATAGAATTTTCTTTGACTGGTTAATCAAAATATAAAATACTTTCACTAAAATTTAAAAAACTTTTCATTAAATTTTCGATTACTGTCCAAAGAATTTTTAGATTCCAATAAAGCGAAAAAATTTTTTTAGTTTGTTTACGGTTATTAATAATTTGTGCACTGACTAACACTTACACCGTAGATTACAGAAAAAATATTACGAACCTAATTGGAGGTTACGTTCATGAGTTATAAAACAAAAATATCCGATTTTTTCTCAAAATTGGCAAAAAGTTTATTTTGTAAAAAGGACCGATTTTGGTGAAAATAGCAAATTTATGTTTAATTATAGAAAATCAAGGTCAAAATTCAAACATTTTAATAAACAATATTCACCATTGGAAAGATCATCAAAAAACATACCTGACAAAAATTTTTTTATTACATGTATAGTCAGAAAAAATTCGAATAATAGGCGGTGTCCCTTTAAATCACCCCCACTTTCTCATTTTTAGGGCCGTCTAACTGTATGCTTAGTGTTAAAATTAAAAAATTTCTATTGTAAGTGTTATGTTTTTGGAACTTTTCATAAATGTTACTTAGCGATGAATGAGTAAATTTATATATTAAACTGTGCATTTTTAAATTAAATTTAGCAATCAGCCGGAATATTCAACTATCTTAAGGGAAATGTGATGTTAGCTATTCAACAGGAGCCGACTCCAGATATGAGTCCAGAAACACTTGGTGCTTTATCTGCTTTAATGCTCGCTCAAGCACAAGAAATTTTTGTACATAAAGCAATTTATGATAGTATGAAAGATGGAATAATTGCAAAATTGGCAGCTCAAGTTGAAGAATTTTATGCAGAAGCTTTAAAATTGTTTCAGAAAGAAATTTTTCGATCATTTTGGGATAAAGAGTGGATTCATTTGGTAAGTTATTTTTACACTTTGTATTATATTGATGCCTCCTGTTGATACAATCGTATTTCAATTGTCAAAACTATATAATCATAACTCGGAGCTCAGTTTAATATGAACGTAGCTCATTTTACAAATAATAAAATCGTATCTCAATTTTCGTATAATATAATCGTTTCTCAAATTTTAATACGTAATAATGTTTTAATATTAAACTGAGCTCTGAGTTACGATTATATAGAGCAATTCCATGGGATGTTTTGAGATATCTCTAATTGAAAATTTATGTCATTTTTTTAAAAAAACCATGTAACTTTTGTTCTTGTTATCCAAATAAGAGAAATTTTTTTTAAATTTCTCACAAAAAGATGCTATTTTAAGCAAAAAATAGTTCATGAAAAAAAAATTTTTTTGCCTGGAAAAAAGTAAAAAAAAAATTTTTGAATTCCTTTTTTTGAAAAAACTACCTCTTCGATTTCAAAAATTTTTTTTCTACTCATTGCCGATGACGTTAAGAATAAATTCTCTAATTTTCATAATGGGACAGCTTTTCCCTACAAAATTTACAAAATTGTTCTTCTTTCCCTTTTTTTGTAATGTATTATACTATATAGTCAGGTATCATAAATATTGTATATTTTCCGCTTTATTTTGAAAATTATGACCCCTAATTATTAAAATTGTAAACGAGGTAGTACGGAATACCCGGAAAAAATTATTCTTTTATATAATAATATAATCAAATTTTAATTTTTTATACTTATTGCCTATGATGTTAAGAATAACTTCTCTAATTTTCATAATGGGCACTGTGGTCAGAAAGCCTGAAAGTTCCAACCAAAAATGACGAGCAAATCGGCAAACAAGGATGTTTTAAAGAAAGTTTGGACATTACAAATCCATTTGAATTGAAATCCTAGCTAATCGTTTAAGCGAGATATCATGAAATAAATCCCAAAGTTTGAAATGTAGAGTTAAATTTTTTATAAAATGCATCTTAACACAAAAGTTTGTTATAAATATTAGTATATACATGAACTGAAAAAAAATTTATTTGATTTAGATACTTCAAATTATTTGAAAAATATTTAATTGGTTCAAATACTTTTTATTTGGATCAATAAAATATGTATTTGATTCAAATAACTTGAATTATTTGAATCGCATTTATTCGAACCAAATAAATCGTATTTGGTTCAATTAAATAAATAATTGAAGTGAATAAAAGAATTTATTTAATACAAATAATGAGTTACTTGAAACTATTCATTCATTTATTTCACTCAAATATTTCGTTTATTTAATACAAATAAAAAGTATTTGACACTATAAATTTATGTAATGGATTCAAATAAACTGAATTATTTAATACAAATAATTCGTTATTTAATTCTAATACACTTTTTTATCAAGACAAATAAAAAAATATTTCAATCAATTAAATATTTATTTGAGACGATAGTAATGATTTACTTGAAACAATTAATTTATTTATTTCACTCAAATATTTCGTTTTATTGAAACAAATAAAAAGTATTTGATACAATAACTTTATTTAATGGATTCAAGTAAACTAAATTATTTAATACTAATACACTATTTTATCAAGACAAATAGAACAATATTTTAATTAATTAAATGTTTATTTGAAACGAAAATAATGAGTTACTTAAATTAATTTATTTATTTCACTCAAATATTTCATTTTTTTGATACAAATAAAAAGTTTTTTATACAACAAATTTATTTTATTAATTCTAATTAACTAAATTATTTAATATAAATAATGCGTTATTTAATGTTAATAGACTATTTTATATTTATTAAAGGAAAATAAAATATTTTGATCAATTAAATATTTAAGTGTAATGAGAATATTGAATTAGGTATTTGAAATTATTCATTTATTTATAATATATATTGTTTAATATTCTCAGTCCAAAAGTCAAATATTTTTTCATCAACAAAAAATTTATGTTTACAATGATTCAGAACAACGAAAAACGCGTTTTTAATAAAAATATATTTACACTTTTTTTGAAAAATCACCTGGGATGAGTCATGATAATAATCATGAAGCTTATAATTAATTATATTTTATAAATTGCATTTAATTGGAAAATATAATTTAATATCTTAACTTTAACTAAATGATGTTAAGCACTTTTCTGAGTTAGGTATTTTGCAAGTTTAAATGGCATCAAGAAGTTAACATTTGTTTTCACGTAGCGTGCGTAGCGTAGTTAGTAAAGCGTTAGACTCATAATACGTAGGTCGTAGGTTCGATTCCCCCCATGAAATTAAATATTTTTTAATTTATTTATTTGAGTAAGAATTTAATTTAGAAATGGAAGAATTAGTAAATAAATATGTTATTTACTCAATTCAAATTTTGATTTATTTGAATCAAAAAATTCTTACATTTTATGCAAATAAATTATGTATTTGGATCAAATAAAATAATAATTGCCGCAATTAAAGAGGTTTTAGTTTCAATTAAAACAATTACTTATGACAAATAATCGAATATTTGATTCAAGAAAATTTTTAGTTGTTTCAAGAAAAATATTTTATTAATGCAAATAAATATTTATTTGAATCAAAAACATGCTGTATTGAATGAAATAATTTTCATAATTGATTCAAATAATTATTTATTAGCTTTGAATATTCCATTTATTTGATTTGAATATTTTGTATTTGATTCAAATAACTATTTATTTGATACGATAAAATAAAATACTTATGTCTAGTAAATATTTATTTGAATGGAATAATTTCCATAATTGATTCAAATAATTATTTATTAGCTTTGAATATTCCATTTATTTGATTTGAATACTTTGTATTTGATTCAAATAACTACTTATTTGATACGATAAAAAAATACTTAGGTTTAGTAAATGTGTATTTGGTTCAAATACATATTTATTGGATAATAGACAAGTAAATGATGTATTTGGATCAAATACTTTTTATTTGATCCAAATAAATTTTTTTTCAGTGTATGGTAATGTTACAGTAATATTACAGATTGATTTCAGTTACTCATAAAGCATCACAATCATTTATATATTGTAAGTCAGTGTGTCTTGTTGGTAAAACTTTAGACTTGTGTGCCTTGAGTTCGGAGTTCTATTCCCAGGTTGGGTATATTTCTTTCGTGAAATAATATTTTTCTAATATTACTGCAATATTCTCGTGTATTATTACCTTAATATTACGGTATAATATTACTGCAATATATTACAGTAATAATGCCTTAATATTACAGTAACATTATCCGGTAATATTACCATGAGGCGGACATTTTAATATCACTGTAATATTACAGTAATGTTACCGGGTAATATTGCTGTAATATTACGTGCTACTTGGGAAATTTGACACTAAATTTTCGAAATCAAGAAAAATTTATATCTCTAAACTTTACCATGGCTACTTTATGTTTTTGAGGTCGCTAAATGCAAATTGAAGTCTATTTAACCCCATCACGTCAGAGTTTTGACATAACTTTAAAAAACATTTAAATTTTGTATTTTTGAGGTTATGTCAAAACCCTGACGTGATGGGGTTAAATAGACTTCAAATTCGCATTCAGTGACCCCAAAAAGATAAAGTAGTCATGGTAAGATTTAGAGATACAAATTTTTCTTGATTTCAAAAATTTGGGTCAAATTTTCGTGTTTTTTGAGGTTATTTCAAAATTCTGACGAGATGGTGTTAATCGGACTTCAGATTCGGTTTTAGCGACTCCGAAAACATAAAGTGGTCAGGGTCTGGTCAGAAGCTCAGAACATAATTTTTTTTGTGTAGCATTGTAATGGTTTGGAGTTACTGATTACAAATTTCAAGTCAGTTTTTCAAAATTCAAAATGGCGGACGACTCATCTAAAAATCTGTTCAATTTGCTTGAAAATCGTTACTCGGAGGTTTTTGGGGTTACTGATACCGAATTTGAGGCTGATTCAATATGACAGACAACTTTTTTAAAAATTGATTTAATTTGCCGGAAATTCGTTACTCGGGGTTTTTGATTACGAATATGAAGCTTAATTTTTAATAATTCAAAATGACGGATCATGTATTTTAATAAATATAGTATTAATTTAACTTGTATTTCAATAATTTTACTTTGCTATCATTAAAATTTGATACAAAGTTAAAAACATATTCGTAATCAGTGACTCTGAAAACCTCCAAGTAACAACTTTGTAGTCCTTTAGTTTATAAAATTTTTAAAAATGGTGAAAACAATTTTTGAAACATGTTATTTGAGATCCTGATCAATTGTCCGGATGTATGTATGTGGGACGTTCTCTGTCAACCGGAACACCCCATCTCTCCATAATTGGTTTAATTTAAAAAAAATGTAGCATATTGGAAAAATTAGCTTACAATGTCTACTTTTTAACCCCGTTGGGCGCTTTTTGAAATTCAAAATGGCGACTTAAATATGGCGCCTAAACGACATAAAAAACACAAAAAATCCACTAATATGATCTATATTATTGTTTAAAGCTTCACATATGACGATAAAAATAACGACAACATAGTTTACTTACAAACTGATAACGTATCTCCTTTCAAAATTCAAAAATTCAAAATGGCGGATTAAATATGGCGGATAAAATTAAGAATTGAGCTAGGCTCGTGAAAATTACAACTTGGGGGTTTTTGAGGTTGCTGGTTACAAATTTGATGTCAGTTTTTAAAAATTATAACTGGCGGATTCAAAATGTCGGACCACAAATTTAAAAAATTGAGCTAATTTCGTAAAAATGTCTACATAGGGGTTTTTTTGGTCGCTGATTACAAATCCGATGTCAGTTTTTAAAAATTTTTAAATGGTTGATGACAAATCTCTATTTAAAATTCAAAATGGCGGATAGAATTAAAAAATTAAGCTAGTCTTTTGATTATTAATTAAATAATCCTCACGTAATTTCCATAAAAAGTTATCTGGCGTTGTATTTGATAAGTTCAAATGGCACTTTTTTACGTTCAATATAAAAAAGTTAGATCAATTTTTTATATTTTGGTCCACCATTTTGATTTTTTAAAAAGTAACCATGAATTCGTAAAGATTGTCCTGAAAAACCCTTAGGTAGACATTTTAACGAGTTTAGCTCAATTTTTTGGATTTTTGGTCAGCCATTTAGAATATTTAAAAAGTAACCGCAGACTCGTAATCAGTGACCCCGAAAACCCCGGAGTAAACAATTTCACGTGTTTAACTTAATTAATTAATTTTTGGGCTACTAATTTGAGTCCGCCATTTTGAATTTTTAAAAACTAATAACGGACTTGTAATCAGCGACCCTAAAAACGCCCGAGTAACAAGATTCAGGCGAATCTAAACGATTTTTCAATTTTTGTCCGCCATATTGGATCCACCATTTTGGATTTTTGAAAACTAACACCGGATTCGTAATCAGCGACCCCAAAATCACTTGAGTAGCCACTTTTGTAAATTTACATTAACTTTTTAAATTTTTCTCATTTTAAATTTACCCGCCTTTTACTTTGTAGTTTTCTTTTTCTCCGCTAGGTGGTGACATCTAAGTTCACTCACTAGCGAGACGCATAGGGAAATATATAAGTATAGGATAGATTTAGGTTAAAATATTACGAATTTTTGTAGACTTTCACAGGTGAGTAGTGCTTTTGTGTTCTATACGTTTAAATCAGTTCTTTTCAGAGCTATTCTGTTTCTTTCTTTCTTTTCTTTTTTTCTCTTCTTTATTTTCTTTCTTTTTTTCTTGTTCTTTAAATCTTAAATTTTTTTTTGCTTTTTTCTTTTCTGGTTTTTTTTGTTTTTTTAGATTTTTTCAAAGACATTTTTGGGAAAAAATAATCTTTGTCGAAAGATTATCTTTTCCGTGAACATTATTCTGATATGTACTGTTTATTGCTTCCTTAGTTTTTAAGTATTTAAATACTTAAAAATTATTTTTGTTGTTCATTGTAGAATTTAGATATTCTTTTAGTTTTTGATATTTTAATATGTCAAAAACTAGGGAGTATTTAGACAGGTGTTTCAATCCATTAGAAATACCAAATCATCGTGGAAAAGGTTTACGTCCAATTTCAAAAAAAATTCGTGAAAGGTTTCCTGATGCTCATGTCAATTCGAAGATATGTGCTAATTGTAGGCTTCAACTTGGAAAGCAAAATAATGCCTTTTATTCGAAACAATTTGATCCTAACAATATCAACTCACATAAAACCGTTGATACTGATATGATCAATAGCAGTATCAGTGATTCAGAAACAGATGGTATTCCATTTGTTAAATCTTTTAGACTTGAAGAGTTAGAAGATTTATTTTGTGGTTTGAAGGACAAATTCTTAAGCTTGCCTGCAAATGATCCTATAAGATTCACGATACTTACCGTAGCTCCATTATCAAGGAGCATTCGCAAAATAGCTACAGAATTTAGAACCTCACGACGATCAGCTAAAAAAAGCCAGAACTTTAAGATAGAATAGTAAAGTTTTAGCTTCAACCACTTCTAAGGCTGGAAAAAGGTTACCTGAAGATACTGTGAATAAAGTTATCGAATTTTATAACAGCGACCTCTACAGTAGAGTGATGTCTGGTAAAAAAGATACTGTATCAGTAAAAATTGATGGTAAAAGATCTGTATTTCAAAAACGCTTGTTACTAGCAGATTTAAAAGAGTTGCATCAGGAATTTAAAAAAATAAATTCTAATAACCCAGTTAGTTTTAGTGCATTTTCTAAGCTTCGGCCAAAACATGGTGTTTTCGCTGGAGGTTCCGGTACACATTCTGTATGTGTATGCGTAATTCACGAAAATTGTAAATTAATGCTTGATGCGCTAAACATTAAAGAGATTACAAAAACAATGAATCAACCAATTGAAAATTATAAAGATTGTCTGCGACTTATTACATGTAAGGATCCAACTGCATTATGTGTTTTAGCTAACTGCAAAGATTGCCCTAGCATTGAAGACTTCTGAGAAATGATGATAAATATTTTAAACGAAGCATGCATCGAGAGTGTTTTATGCAGTTATGGACATCAACTGACAGATCAAATTTAATAACGAGCAAATTATCGAACATCGAATTTGTTGATGAACTTTGCCAAAAACTAATTAAACTGAAACTACATTCATTCATATCTAAGCAGCAATCAATGTACCTTGAAGATAGGAAGCAAAATTTTAAAGAAGCAGAAGTATTGGTACTGTATGATTTTTCCGAGAACTATGCCTACATTGAGAGAAGAAAAGCACAGAATCCGTAATGTGACGAACGCCGGCCGTGTAAAATGGGTGTCAGTATCCGTTCTTTAGTTTTGTTCAGTTGGTGTCGTTCATAGTTCAGATACTAAGCTTTAGCAGCGCGGCAGCGGTGTGAACTAAGTTATACGGAATCTGTCTCATAGCGACCGACAGATACTGTACTTCTGAACAGTTCATATCTGTGTACAGTATCTATACTCAAGCCAAGTACAACATCCATTTCACATTTTAGTACGGCATCTATCACACAGTGACGCTGCTGCTGCTCTCAACTTGGTGTACAGATGCTGAACTTCTTCATTTCAGATTCCGTGCTTTTCTTCTCTCAGTGTACGTAATACAAAATACTTCTCAAGCATTTCATTATAATAATGATCAATGCACTTTAATGCCAGTTGTTTATTACTATAATGATGGTAAAGAAATAAAACATAAAAGTCTTGTGTTTAACTTTTTTATATTGAACGTTAAAGAGTGCCATTTGAACTTATCAAATACAACGCCAGATAACTTTTTATGGAAATTGCGTGAGGATTATTTAATTAATAATCAAAAGACTAGCTTAATTTTTTAATTCTATCCGCCATTTTGAATTTTAAATAGAGATTTGTCATCAACCATTTAAAAATTTTTTAAAACTGATATCGGATTTGTAATCAGCGACCAAAAAACCCCTATGTAGACATTTTTACGAAATTAGCACAATTTTTTAAATTTGTGGTCCGCCATTTATAATTTTTAAAAACTGACATCAAATTTGTAACCAGCAACCTCGAAAACCCCCGAGTTGTAATTTTCACGAGCCTAGCTCAATTTTTAATTTTATCCGCCATATTTAATCCGCCATTTTGAATTTTGAAAGGAGATACGTTATCAGTTTGTAAGGAAACTATGTTGTCGTTATTTTTATCTTCATATGTGAAGCTTTAAACAATAATATAGATCATATTAGTGAATTTTTTATGTCGTTTAGGCGCCATATTTAAGTCGCCATTTTGAATTTCAAAAAGCGCCCAACGGGGTTAAAAAGTAGACATTCCAAGCTAATTTTTCCAATATGCTAAATTTTTTTTAAATTAAACCAATTATGGAGAGATGGGGTGGTCCGGTTGACAAAGAACGTCCCATATATATATCATTACTATATTATTATCATTATCATTATAAACTTATTCCGTTCCTAATTAATTTTTAATTGCAGAATAGATGAAAATTTAGTTTTCGGATGCAAGTTAAAATATAGTTTATGTTCATATTAAAATATAAATAAATTTCTGCTGTTCAAATTTAAAAACTTTTTATTAACTAATGTAAATTTAATCAAAATAATATTTAATATTTTTAGTAAATTTAAATAGGTGGTTCGCCCCCCTAGTATATATATATATTTTTTTTTTAAACTAGTTTTAATTGGAAAAATAAATTATTGTATAAAATTGATATATATATTTTTACTCATTGTGTTAGATGTCTGGAAAACAAGCAGGTTATCATGCCTTGGCCGAATTTTATCAGTCACTGGTTTGTAAAACTCAAAAACAAGTTGGTATGGAGATAGCTAGATTAGAGGTAAGTAACATAGATGTGAACGGTACAGTCGTTGCTCTCTTGATAGTGATTGCCCACATTACAATAATTTCAAAAATACTTAAAAATAGTATATTATAGTAGATACCACTCGTGCTAGAAACACCAACTTGGTGAAAAAGCCATTCATTTTTTCTACCGATGAAAAAAATTAACTTTTTACTCGGACGTCAGGTCATGTTTGTTCCTGAGGGATAAAAATTCTCTTGTCATATTTTATTTTGTGTACGAATCTGAATTCTGCATATTTTTTTTTGTTTAAGGTGTAAAAAAGAGACATCAATTGATACTTTAGGAATAAAATATTATATTGTTTTGAAAACATTGACAATAACCTCAAATTTATCTCACATTTTAACTTTAATACAACTCAATACACTTTTGCATTTTGATTGATTTGAATTATTTCTAATAAAAGATAACTATTTTAAAATATTTTTTCTTCAATATTTTCAAGCATTCATTAGTTTTTACTGAATATTTCCAAATTTTATGTGGGCAATCACTGTCGAATTTTATGATCAATTGTATGACAGGGCCAATAAGTATTTTTTTCTTTCTAGGTGAGATATATCTTAATTTTTCTTATTTACGTTCATATCTTAAAATAAGTTACTTTTTATTTGTAACTATTTATTTAATTATTTAAATATTTGAAGTTCCTAGTTCTAAAGACATCTCTGAGGAACATTACATAATAGATTATATAAAATAAATTGGTATTTAGTGGTAACAAAAATCTAATAATGAATAAAGTTAATACTGATCAATATTAATTAAGTACATATATCTTTATTAGAGTATTCTAATAACACAGGTCTAAAAAATAAAACTTTTTTCAGTATTTATTTTCTCCTTAACTTGACGTGCTAGAGACCTCTATTGGGGTCGTCCACATATTACATAACGCTTTTTTTGGCAATTTTAGACACTCCCCTCCCCCCTCGTAACACTACCGTAACGGTGGATAAAGACCCCCCTCCCCCCACTTATGTTACGTAACATTTTGATTTCTTTAAAAATGATTATAATTTATCAATTAAACGACAACGAAATGATATTTTATAAAAATATTTTTATTTAACTTAATGAGAAAATGGGGCATGGAATAAAAAATCGAATTTTTTAAAATTTTATTTTCTTATATTTTCAAGTTTAAAAAATAATATTGTTGATAAGACCGTTTTCTCAGACTCGGTCGCATGTTTGAATTTTTTCGAATATTTTCTATAAATGTGGTTAAAAAAAACTTGGTCTGTTAACATCTTCAAAACATACAATTAAATCAAATTGTTATTTCATTAATCGTGAAAAATTAATATTTAACATGCATTTCATATATAAATATAAGTTAATGTAATTGAAAAATATTTTAAGCGCAAATTCAAGCATCAAACACTGAATAAACAGTTCAGAAGAAAAACAAAAGAGTAATCAATATAAAATTCGTTTATACTTACGTGCAATAAATATTAACACCACACACATAGCAAATTTGAAATTTTTTTCGCCTCATTTTATTTTGGATGTCTATTGCGACCAACTAGAATTTTATTTCTTAAACACAAAACTAAGGGTATGACCATATCGTTTCTGTTATAAATAAGGTTAAGTTCACTTGTCTGTTACTTGTTCATGATCATAGTCTCAGAGTGCAGTCGCTCGTGCGTTCTTGATTTTTAAAGCAAAGAGACTGCACCCTGAGATAAGAAAATAAACTACCAATCCGTGTATCACTTGTAGAAAGAAATAACAGGGAATACCCGCCAAAATTTATGCTAGTGAAAATAGTTTCATTATTACTTCATGTGATTATTTTTTTCTTTCAATAAATAATTTTTTTATTTGTTACGTAACACTATACTTCGACCCCCCCTTCCCCATCGTAATAAGACCATAACAGTGCACAGTGGGGCCAAAAACACGTCCGTGGACAAATTAACTTAGAGCCTACAAATTTCAACCGATTTTGACGTTCTTTGAATTGACTTAAAGGTAATAAAATTCCATACAGCGCTGTCGTTTTTGTTTTTTTAAAAAAAAATTTTTTCTATTGTTTATTTATTGTTAAAGTTGAAAAATTTTTTTTTCTTCTCTAAAAACTACATAAGTTTTTCAAAAAGGACGGTATTACATCAACAAAGCCTAAAATTGTTAAAGCAATGATTTGAGAACATTTTCTGAGATTTAAATAATTGTTTAAAAATTTTTTTTAATTGTTATTAACAAATTAGCGGACTAAAGACGATTTAATTGTTTTTTTTACTTTTAGCAATTGAAATGCATGTAATCTTTTGTATTTAAGGGCCAAAAGTAATTAACATTGAAAATAATTATTATAAACTAATTATTGTTATTTTTTAAACAATTTTTATAAACAATTTTCTTTATCTTAGTTCTTTATAACTAAATTATTTAAATATTGTGTTCAGTCTACTATATTATTACTCAAGATGAACAAATATTGCTAAATTTTGACAATTTTCAACTTAGCTTTGTTTAAACAACTCTTAATTAACAAATACACAATGACGTTGTTTTTAGTTGTTTCAAATTCGTTTTTTTTCAAGACTCCTTCCCACGTGAAAAAGTTCCCGGAAGACTCCCGGGAATCTCCCGGGAATTTCTCAGAAAAAATTCCCGCAAACTTGTTAACCCTTACGTGAAGCATTGTAGGTGTCTCTGAAACAAAAAACTTTTGTTTAAGGCGTAAAAAATTTTTGTAAGTATTTAAAAAGTTTCATTTAACACTAGGAAGTACCCAGAAGCATATTTAAAGTTTAGGTTATGAAATTTCAAATTCAGACAATTTTGTTGGTATTTTTGTATGTTACGTTTAATACTTCGAGAATGTTTTATAGTTAAAAAAAATTAATCAAAATGTTTTATTCTGTAATTTAGTAAATGTCTGTACATAAAAGTTTAATAAAAATTAAAAAAATCAACGATATTTTTGAAGATATTTTAGTTGTTTTTCAAGAATTAAAAATATAAATATAAATTGATAAATAAATAATCAGAAGAAAAAATTTTAATTATGATAAAAACTTTTTGTTTGAAATTACATGGAATAAATAATTAACTGATTTATATTTAATTTGACAGAGACAGTTGATAAAAATCAATTGACCTAGGAGCAAATATTTAAAGGTTAATTGAAGATATTTGATTTTGACTGAGTTTAGGTAATATGATAATTGCTTCTCGTAAACGATTGAGCTGTTTAACATAAACTTCCCTGAAAAAGTTTATGAAAACGACCTGAACACTAGGAAAGTATTTTGAAACTTCCTAGTGATCATTTATCACGTTTTAAGGTTAACTTGTTCCAGAAGTTGACGAAAAATTACCCTGAGTAATCATAGGTACCTGGAATTCTCTTGTAGCGATCGTCTTTCATATTTTAGGGTTTTCTTCCTCGAAGAAGTTATCGAAATTTAACTAACTTTTAGAGAAGTACCTGGAGAGATCCTAGTAATCGACTATTGATTTTTTTTCAGTTTAATACATTGGAAAATGTCGATTAATTACCTGGATCTCAGACTGAAACCTTGAATAGGTTCCTATAAGTAATTAACATGCAAAATATGATTAACCTAAACTTTAAATATGCTTCTGGGTACTTCCTAGTGTTAAATGAAACATTTTAAATACTTACAAAAATTTTTTACGCCTTAAACAAAAGTTTTTTGTTTCAGAGACACCTACAATGCTTCACGTAAGGGTTAACAAGTTTGCGGGAATTTTTTCTGAGAAATTCCCGGGAGATTCCCGGGAATCAACTCCCGGGAGATTCCCGGGAATCAACTCCCGGGAAATTCCCGGGAACTTTTTCACGTGGGCTTAATTTTTAAATATTTTTATATTACACCGTCCGACACGATTTTTCACACATGAAAAAATCAATGATTTTCAGAAACACCAAAAAAAAGATACCCGTGTCTGTCCGTTTTGCTAGATCAGGTCATTTTTTGCTTTTAGGGGTAAAATCAACCCTTAAATGAAAGGTGATAGGAAATCTTGTACAAATAAATAATTTTTTATGAAACCTGGTATCTCGGGGTTTTCCGGGTCGCTGATTACGAATCTGATGTCGGATTTTCAAAATTCAAAATGGCGGATCCAATATGGCGGTTAAAATTTATAATAATTCACCAATTCATTTGAAAGTTGTTACTTAGGGGTTTTTGGGGTCGCTGATTGCGAATATGATGTCAGATTTTCAAAATTCAAAATGGCGGATTCAATATAGCGGTCGAAATTATAAAAGTTCATCGAATTCACTTGAAACTTGTTACTTGAAGGTTTTTGGGGTCGCTGATAACGAATATGATGTCAGATTTTAATAATTCAAAATGGCGGATCCAATATGGCGGTCGAAATTTATAAATATTAATCATTTTTTATAAAACTTGGTGTCTAGAAGTTTTTGGGGTCGCTGAGCACAAATCTGAAGTCAGATTTTTAAAATTCAAAATGGCAGATTCAATATAGCGTTTGAAATTTTTAAAAATTCGTCGAATTCACTTGAAACTTGTTACTTGAAGGTTTTTGGGGTTGCTGATTACGAATTTGATGTCGGCTTTTCAAAATTCAAAATGGCGGATCCAATATGGTGGTCGAAATTTATAAATGTTTTTATGTTGTTATTATTATTATTATTATTATGTTATTATCAGCGACCTCAAAAGCCCCTAGACATCAAATTTTATAAAAAATAATTAATATTTATAAATTTCGACTGCCATATTGGATCCGCCATGTTGAATTTTCAAAATCTGACATCATATTCGTTATCAGCGACCCCAAAAACCTTCAAGTAACAAGTTTCAAGTGAATTCGACGAATTTTTAAAAATTTCAAACGCTATATTGAATCTGTCATTTTGAATTTTAAAAATCTGACATCATATTCGCAATCAGCGACCCCAAAAACCTTAAAGTAACAAGTTTCAAGTAAATTCGATGAACTTTTATAAATTTCGAACGCCATATTGAATCCACCATTTTGAATTTTGAAAATCTGACATCAGATTCGTAATCAGCGACCCGGAAAACCCCGAGATACCAGGTTTCATAAAAAATTATTAATTTGTACAAGATTTCCTATCACCTTTCATTTAAGGGCTGTTTTTACCTCTAAAAGCAAAAAATGACCTGATCTAGCAAAACGGACAGACACGGGTATCTTTTTTTTGGTGTTTCTGAAAATCATTGATTTTTTCATGTGTGAAAAATCGTGTCGGACGGTGTAATATAAAAATATTTAAAAATTAAGGAGTCTTGAAAAAAAACGAATTTGAAACAACTAAAAACAACGTCACTGTGTATTTGTTAATTAAGAGTTGTTTAAACAAAGCTAAGTTGAAAATTGTCAAAATTTAGCAATATTTGTTCATCTTGAGTAATAATATAGTAGACTGAACACAATATTTAAATAATTTAGTTATAAAGAACTAAGATAAAGAAAATTGTTTATAAAAATTGTTTAAAAAATAACAATAATTAGTTTATAATAATTATTTTCAATGTTAATTACTTTTGGCCCTTAAATACAAAAGATTACATGCATTTCAATTGCTAAAAGTAAAAAAAACAATTAAATCGTCTTTAGTCCGCTAATTTGTTAATAACAATTAAAAAAAATTTTTAAACAATTATTTAAATCTCAGAAAATGTTCTCAAATCATTGCTTTAACAATTTTAGGCTTTGTTGATGTAATACCGTCCTTTTTGAAAAACTTATGTAGTTTTTAGAGAAGAAAAAAAAAATTTTTCAACTTTAACAATAAATAAACAATAGAAAAAATTTTTTTTTAAAAAAACAAAAACGACAGCGCTGTGTGGAATTTTATTACCTTTAAGTCAATTCAAAGAACGTCAAAATCGGTTGAAATTTGTAGGCTCTAAGTTAATTTGTCCACGGACGTGTTTTTGGCCCCACTGTGCAGTGTCTGGTAACCCCCCCCCCCTCCCCCCTTGAGCGTTACGTAATATATGGACGGCCCCTATAGGCATAAATTAAACCTTAAATCGTACACTTTAAGACCCATATGCGCAAGAAAAAAAAGTATTTTTGAAAAAATGGGGGTAATTACCCCAATAAACTTTTTGGATGTCTCGAACCTAATTTTTTTAAAAAATTCCAAATATTTTTTATCTTGTGCATATGAGTTTTAATATGAGTGTACAATCTTTTATTTAATTTAAGCCTATATATAGAAGTCTCTATCACGTCAGGTTAAGGAGAAAAAAAATACTGAAAACCCTGTAAAACACGGTTATTGGAGACTTTACCCTTACTTTAATCAAAATCCTGACATGATACGCAATTTTAGAATCTGAAATCGTGTTCAGCACACAAAAATTCATCGGAAACCACTCTGATATTTCAAAAAAAAAATCCTTGTAGACCTGTGTAATTAATTAAATAAAAATTATTGATTTATTAGACTATTCAGATTACATTTCAGTTGGTTTTATTTTTATAATTTGGAATCTTAAATTACATATATATATATATATATATATATATATATATATATATAATCCACAAATGTTTAAACTGTCAATCACTGTACCGTTTATCCCCATTATTCTGTTTGAATAAAAAATGTACTTAAGAAATTTAAAATTGTAATTTATTTTCAGTATGCGGTTGAGCTTTTTAAAATTGCACAAAATCGTTCAAATAAATCTAATTTATTTCAAGATTATGCTATTAAAGCTCAAAAAATGTTTAATGATTCTAAAAGGGATAATGATTTTATTTATCATGAAAGAATTCCAGACGTTAAGAGCTTAGAACCTATTGGTAAAGCATGTTTAGCAAAACTGTTTCCTGTACCAGAAACTTTCTCTTCAGAATTTAAAGGTTTGTTCAATAATTATAATAAATATAAATATCGGCCATTTCACTGACTTTCGTCTGAAAGTAGTTGCGACCAAATTTGTAAAAAATATAGTTTTAATATATGTAAAACTTGATGATTCCCTGAGTTCATTAACCATAATATTATGGTAAAAAATTTATTCCCTTTAAAATTATTAATTATCAAATGTAAGAGGTTCACAATTTGATGTCGTAATCATAAATTTTTTAATTTTTTTAAGAAAGCAATTATTAAAAAAACCGTTGATTGTCCTGATTTTTTTTCTCGACGCAAGACGTGTAGTATTTTTAACCCTAGAATGGAAATATGACTTTTTTACCCTCTAATGGAAAAACGGGGTTGTTTGGCACCTCAGATTTGAAACGTATGTGTAAGGTTTCTATTTTACTAAAAACAACTTTTATATAGTGGAGTTTTTACGTTTATTTTAATAAGGAAGACAATGGCATAATGCATTTTCTATTAAAGTGGAAAAAAATTATATAAATGATGTAAAAACAAAAGAGTACAGGGAAAAATAAAAAATTTTGCAAGGGTATAGCTGGATAAGTATGGAAAAATTGCCCACGCTCGTATTTTATTCATATCATTACTATATGTTCCCACCCACATGAATATAACTTTCTGAAATTTTTAACTCAAAATTTTGCGTTTTTTGGGAGTTATGAAGAGTAAAGAAAAATCCAAAAAGGCATTTTTCTCGAAAACTACTAGATGGATTTTAATGAGATTTGGATATGTTATAGAGACAAGTAATACGATTATAAAAAAAAATTGTCACCATTTTTTTTTCAAAAGACTCAAAAATTTGAATTTTGAAATTAAAAAAAAATTTTTTTGGAGTTCCATTCAATTCGTACATCAAAATTTTTTTTCCATTTTACTATACAATATACCAAAAATTTTGGATTTTGAAATTTTTTTTGGAGTTCTATTGAATTGGTACACCAAATTTTTTTACCATTTTACTCTTCCAAGTGTCCCACTTAATAAAAACAATTATGCCTGGCATGATTTGAAGGTGCGTCACCGTGAAAAACTTAAAAAACCCTTCGAAGGACTGTCAAACTTTTACAAATAGATCTATTTTCAGAAATCTATTTTGTAGAGAGACAAAATAATTTTCTATAAAAAAAATTTTTACAATTGCGGATAGGTCTTAATAAATCAGCACCAAAATTGCGGATAATTGTTTACAGTCTTTACTTGAAAACAAGACAATAAAATACTTCGACCTTTAGGATAATTGTTAAGAAAGACACCAGGTAAAACTTTTTTTGAGTTAAAATAATGAAAAAAAATTAATGTCGATAAATTAAATATAAGCACTTTTTTACGAAAAACTCTAACAGTACTTTCTCGGAAATAACAAACAGGAATGCATTTTTCATTTGAAGAATTAATAAAAACTAAAAAGTACACCAGCTAAAATTCACCAATCACGAAAATAATGACAATAACTTTTTCAACATACAATCATATTAACACTATTTTCCTGATTTTGATAGTCGTTTGGTAGGTAATACATCAATAAATGTTTCGCGATTCTGCGTACAGGAGGAGATTAACGTGATTGGTAAATCTTAGCTGCTATACTTTTTAGTTTTTATTAATTCTCCACTTGAAAATTGCATTCTTGTTTGTTATTTCCATGTTATTTCCAAGAAAGTACTGTTACAGTTTGTTAAAGACGGAAGTTAATTAACAAAAGAAAATAAAATAGATAATTTGACGAGAAAATAATAAAGTTAGAAATAATACTAATTTTTATTTTAATAAATTGATTACAATTAAAACAACATTTACTTTAAGCTACTTGATTGAAAATCAAGTCTCACAAAAATCACTTATTACAAGCAAAACAAAGAGATCAAATAAAAGGCAATTTTCATCAATAAGAAAATAATTTATGTGTTTGAACTAAATGTAATAGTGTTTGTTTTTCGTTTATAGATTCTTTGTGTTAGAATTAATACATAAAGATTTAAAACAACTCACCAAAGAATGATAAAATAAATGTTACAGATAAGTATCAAATTACTTTTCCAACGCTTGAGAGTTTGACATTCGTATTTTATATGTGATTCTCAAATATGCGGAAGTCTATTTTGCCTTCCTCTGTTCTTTATGAATTTCTTTTTACTAAACTTGTAATATTTATTGTTTTTAAACAATTATTTTTATTTTTCAAAAATCTGCTTATTAAAAATTCAGAATATTGGGGGTAATTACCCCAATAAACTTTTTGGATGTCTCGAACCTAATTTTTTTAAAAAATTCCAAATATTTTTTATCTTGTGCATATGAGTTTTAATATGAGTGTACAATCTTTTATTTAATTTAAGCCTATATATAGAAGTCTCTATCACGTCAGGTTAAGGAGAAAAAAAATACTGAAAACCCTGTAAAACACGGTTATTGGAGACTTTACCCTTACTTTAATCAAAATCCTGACATGATACGCAATTTTAGAATCTGAAATCGTGTTCAGCACACAAAAATTCATCGGAAACCACTCTGATATTTCAAAAAAAAAATCCTTGTAGACCTGTGTAATTAATTAAATAAAAATTATTGATTTATTAGACTATTCAGATTACATTTCAGTTGGTTTTATTTTTATAATTTGGAATCTTAAATTACATATATATATATATATATATATATATATATATATATATAATCCACAAATGTTTAAACTGTCAATCACTGTACCGTTTATCCCCATTATTCTGTTTGAATAAAAAATGTACTTAAGAAATTTAAAATTGTAATTTATTTTCAGTATGCGGTTGAGCTTTTTAAAATTGCACAAAATCGTTCAAATAAATCTAATTTATTTCAAGATTATGCTATTAAAGCTCAAAAAATGTTTAATGATTCTAAAAGGGATAATGATTTTATTTATCATGAAAGAATTCCAGACGTTAAGAGCTTAGAACCTATTGGTAAAGCATGTTTAGCAAAACTGTTTCCTGTACCAGAAACTTTCTCTTCAGAATTTAAAGGTTTGTTCAATAATTATAATAAATATAAATATCGGCCATTTCACTGACTTTCGTCTGAAAGTAGTTGCGACCAAATTTGTAAAAAATATAGTTTTAATATATGTAAAACTTGATGATTCCCTGAGTTCATTAACCATAATATTATGGTAAAAAATTTATTCCCTTTAAAATTATTAATTATCAAATGTAAGAGGTTCACAATTTGATGTCGTAATCATAAATTTTTTAATTTTTTTAAGAAAGCAATTATTAAAAAAACCGTTGATTGTCCTGATTTTTTTTCTCGACGCAAGACGTGTAGTATTTTTAACCCTAGAATGGAAATATGACTTTTTTACCCTCTAATGGAAAAACGGGGTTGTTTGGCACCTCAGATTTGAAACGTATGTGTAAGGTTTCTATTTTACTAAAAACAACTTTTATATAGTGGAGTTTTTACGTTTATTTTAATAAGGAAGACAATGGCATAATGCATTTTCTATTAAAGTGGAAAAAAATTATATAAATGATGTAAAAACAAAAGAGTACAGGGAAAAATAAAAAATTTTGCAAGGGTATAGCTGGATAAGTATGGAAAAATTGCCCACGCTCGTATTTTATTCATATCATTACTATATGTTCCCACCCACATGAATATAACTTTCTGAAATTTTTAACTCAAAATTTTGCGTTTTTTGGGAGTTATGAAGAGTAAAGAAAAATCCAAAAAGGCATTTTTCTCGAAAACTACTAGATGGATTTTAATGAGATTTGGATATGTTATAGAGACAAGTAATACGATTATAAAAAAAAATTGTCACCATTTTTTTTTCAAAAGACTCAAAAATTTGAATTTTGAAATTAAAAAAAAATTTTTTTGGAGTTCCATTCAATTCGTACATCAAAATTTTTTTTCCATTTTACTATACAATATACCAAAAATTTTGGATTTTGAAATTTTTTTTGGAGTTCTATTGAATTGGTACACCAAATTTTTTTACCATTTTACTCTTCCAAGTGTCCCACTTAATAAAAACAATTATGCCTGGCATGATTTGAAGGTGCGTCACCGTGAAAAACTTAAAAAACCCTTCGAAGGACTGTCAAACTTTTACAAATAGATCTATTTTCAGAAATCTATTTTGTAGAGAGACAAAATAATTTTCTATAAAAAAAATTTTTACAATTGCGGATAGGTCTTAATAAATCAGCACCAAAATTGCGGATAATTGTTTACAGTCTTTACTTGAAAACAAGACAATAAAATACTTCGACCTTTAGGATAATTGTTAAGAAAGACACCAGGTAAAACTTTTTTTGAGTTAAAATAATGAAAAAAAATTAATGTCGATAAATTAAATATAAGCACTTTTTTACGAAAAACTCTAACAGTACTTTCTCGGAAATAACAAACAGGAATGCATTTTTCATTTGAAGAATTAATAAAAACTAAAAAGTACACCAGCTAAAATTCACCAATCACGAAAATAATGACAATAACTTTTTCAACATACAATCATATTAACACTATTTTCCTGATTTTGATAGTCGTTTGGTAGGTAATACATCAATAAATGTTTCGCGATTCTGCGTACAGGAGGAGATTAACGTGATTGGTAAATCTTAGCTGCTATACTTTTTAGTTTTTATTAATTCTCCACTTGAAAATTGCATTCTTGTTTGTTATTTCCATGTTATTTCCAAGAAAGTACTGTTACAGTTTGTTAAAGACGGAAGTTAATTAACAAAAGAAAATAAAATAGATAATTTGACGAGAAAATAATAAAGTTAGAAATAATACTAATTTTTATTTTAATAAATTGATTACAATTAAAACAACATTTACTTTAAGCTACTTGATTGAAAATCAAGTCTCACAAAAATCACTTATTACAAGCAAAACAAAGAGATCAAATAAAAGGCAATTTTCATCAATAAGAAAATAATTTATGTGTTTGAACTAAATGTAATAGTGTTTGTTTTTCGTTTATAGA